TGGTGAAAGGACTCGTATGCTAAAACCAGCCATAACTCTGCTTCTGCCGGCCATTATATCTGCAAGAGAGATAGAGGATATGATTAAATTAGAGGCAATTATGACACCGTGCACATTACTGTGTACTTGACTGCTTGGGAACTTGGGTGGCATCCAAGTCCAGGGACAGAAGCAAGCCTCCAGCATGCTCTCATTCTTCCAGGATCCATATTTCATTCAGTCTGCCTGTGACCGCATGTAATGTGCTGAAGTTCGTCAAGAATGTCAGCAAACAGCTGTCTGTTATGTTATGCTGTGCAGAGGCCACCACTGATTATGCTATGAACAACAATTACAAGTCCTTGATGAGCAATAAAAAAGTCCTAGTGTTCATTATGGGCCTTAAATAGACATTTTCCTTATATTTTCCCCTCATTTTAAATATCACTTTAAGAGCATTTCCTTATTGACTCAATCATTTAGTTGCCTGCTTCCAGAAACCTACATACAAATCACAAATGTAATAGTATTTACTAGAAACTGTACCACTAGCACCATGTTAATGGTTGCTTAAAACCCTCTTTGAGATGGTGCACAAATACAGCACCATACATGGTGATAAAAGATGTAACTGAACGAATGATCTAAAGAGGAGATGTGCACACGTCTGACCAAACTGATCAGAGCAGAGAGGAGAAGGTCCACAGACTGCAGAGGCAGAAACAGGGCCATTTATGGAAAGGAATGCCAGACTGAATAGTTTGCTATCATTACTTTGTCATTAGCCAGTCAAGATTTTACAAAAGGTAATTTCTACATGTTGTTTTCTTTTTCGCAGTCATATGATCAGATTTACTGCTCAAGTCCAGAACTGTTTTCCTTCAGCTGAGTTAAATGAAGCACTTTTTATGTTTGTTCTCTTAAATATGAGCAGCTCCTACAAATATAGATCTTTATTTTTCAGCATGGCTCAACTGCTAAGAATGTCACATAAACGTACTACACCTTAGAGACATTTCAGGAAAGCACAAAAACATATGGTTATTATTTTTTCAAAAGTGGGTATCAGGCCTGATTCATTTGGTTTGACTGAAGAATATATATATATATATATATATATATATATATATATATATATATATATGTGTGTGTGTGTGTGTGTGTGTGTGCGCATTTATATATATATATACATGTATATATATATATATGTACATATATATATACATGTATATATATATAGACATACGTATGTAAAACTATTTATAATTAGAATTAAAAAATAATACGTATGTAGTATGTAATAATATGTATGTAGATATTAATTTTTGTTATAATATAAATATTAATGTTTGTAGTATGACTATATATATATATATATATATAGTTTGCAGTATGAAACATTAATATTTATATATACTTATAACAAATTTACTATAACTTTATTAACTATAATTATAATTATACATCGTATATATATATATATATATATATATATATATATATATATATATATATATATATCAATGCAGATTAGGTATCTCTCAATCTGCCCACATAAAAAATGCTACCATGATTAGCCTGCTTATCCTAATCTATCTGAAAGCTGTAAACGGTGCAGTTGCTAACTTCATGTCCACCTCTTTCCACCGCGCTTCTCCGCGCGCGCGACTCCATCAATCAAACCCAACACGCTAAACTCCATCAGCGCCGCGTCGTAGCGCGCGTTCGCTCTTTCATTTGCTCTGTTACCGTCATCCAGTCCGCTAAAGGCAGTCTGTGTGGCCGGTTTACCCGCGGCCGTCCAGCGCTGCTGTCCCGCTTCCACCGAGGCTCGTGCGGTCAGAAACAGAGCACGGAGCTGTCACTCGTCCGCATGTCTCGCGTCCTCGTTAGCTCGGGTTTGTTTTTACCCCCCACCTCCCCCTCTTCCTCCTTCGCCCTGTACACCCAGCTCCCCTCTCTCGTGGCGAGGAAAAGCCCAAATATGCTCGCGTTATCCATCCGATTGGTTTCGTTATTGTTGCCAGCACGACGCATCAAAATCAATCCCGTCCAAAGTCGTGCTGGCAGCTGTCAATCTCTGGCTTTCTTTCGCTCCTTCGCGTCTCTGCTTAATCTTATCACAGGGGTCAGGGAATAAGAGCAAAGCCCCTCTGACCGTCCACTTCTTGCTTTTTTTTTAATCCAAATGGAGAACTGTGGGCCAAACTAATATACATACAGCTTTATTTCACCCCCACTGCTTCTCAAAGTGGCCGGACTTTCATTAAGCAGAGCGCTTTGCTGTACATTTGAAAATATTTCCACTCTTGGCCGCTGAGCAGCCTTAATGAGCAGAAGAGCGAGTTTCTGACACACAGGACGAGGCTGTCGACTTTCAGCAAATTGCATCCAGTCAGCCTGAGGGAGTTCAGCTGCTTCACTCTCTCTGGGCCACAGGAGAGCCAGAAAAACACGCAGGACACTCTCCCTTCAGAGGATCTCGCTCTCAGATGAGAAGGAGCCGCTCAGGATGGTTGGGCTGGAGCGCTGCACTGGAAATGCTGCTCAGTCTGTTAGAAGAGCTGGAAAGATGATTTGTGATGCATATAAGCGAGTGTTAAAGTTCATAGGGTGAATACAGCGCGTCGCCTGATGTACAGAAACTTGACCGCTCAATAGTTTTGCGATTTTTCATTGCAAAAATAGTTATTTCGTTTTTTTACTTTCTAAAAAGCAGATTAATCACGCTGTCTGAAAAATTTGAGTGACAAAATATGTGAAACTGATACAAACCCAGATTATCCAAACCCAGATGGTGTTGTGTGAGCAGCATTGGAAAACTGAGCTAAAAACTGAGCTAAAAAAGACGATGAAAAAGTTGTGATAATATGAAAACGCATTAAAATATTCACAATACTGAAATCTCTGTTTTAGAGGTTATTTAAGCAGGAAGGCGCTACCATATTCCAGATTCCAGAGTATCAGAATGAATTATTTTTCATATACTATATTCTTATAGAAATCTACTTCACAATGAACGAATATGAATTTAAATTTCATTCAAAAATTATTTCACGTATTTAATTTCAAAGTTAAGTGAAAAATAAAAATCCATAATAAAAATAACAGTAACGATATAAAATGTAATTTTGTAAGAATGTAAAATGTATTATTATTATTGTTATTATTATTATTATTATTATTATTATTATTATTATACGGTTATATTTAGACGTTTCCGTTTGACAGTGCTTTAATTTAAGTAGATCTAAGTTGGCTCTGTGTGTCATAGGGGGCTCCCTCACCCTCCTTCAATCTCTCTCTCTCTCTCTCTCTCTCTGTCACACACACACACACACACACACACACACACACTCTTGGAAACAGAGGGTCGGCGTAGGGGGAAAGCTGGCTGGCCAGATTTAAGTTCACGCCTGATCAGGCACTGAAGAGTGAGTGGGCTGTGTGTGTGTGTTGGGGGGGGTGTGCGGGGGGGCAGCACCTGGCCGGTCTTCAGGATCTCCATCCCGGCTTTCTGACTGACAGCCTGATAAGCGGGCCGAGGCCGGCCAGACATCTCCACGAGCCCTGCTGCTCTTCTCAGGCTCCAAATCAGCCTTAATTCACCCCCTTCCTCCCCCTCCCCCCTCCATCTCCACTTCAACAGGGTCACAAACCTGCGCGCGCGCGCGAATTCACAAACTCGCATTTTTGCGCAAAATAACGCAGATTTTCCTCCGCAGCGACCTGTTTATTCAGCACAGAGGCCTACTGACTTCTACCTGCTTCCTCTGGAAAGAAGACCTCCAGGTCCACCAGGGTCTTCTGAGCTCTTCAATAAGGGCCTTAAAGGGATCCTTATCAGTCTAGACATCTCGCTTGTTTTATATATATATATATATATATATATATATATATATATATATATATATATATATATGCATACAACTGAATTAATTGCTGGCTTTCCTACTCAGCTCTTCAATGACTGTCCTAAACGGCTCCTGAACAAACATACTTTCTTAATATCGACACACATGCATACGTTCCTATACATACGTAAATAAATAAGTCACACGAATAAATCCGTGGTTTTGAATTTGTTCCGCTGAATAACTTGTTGCCGCATGTAGCAGTAAGTTACTAGTCGTTCGGCAGATGTAAGAGTCTGTAAGTGCGTTGCATTACAAACTAATACAGCCAAATCATACAAAACATACCAAAACAGTTATTAGTATTAATACAGTATTAATGAAAAGCAGCCTTATTAAGAAACTACACTCTGCTGTTTGTCTATTTTCCCCAAAAGTCCAGCATGAGGACACCAGATAGCCTCCACCTGTCCAGACAGAATCAGTCATCATACTGCCTGAAATAAGAAGAATGAGAGAGGTAAAATAAAAACAATAAAATAACATAAATCTTAGAGAAAGTCACGGAAAAACAAGGAATCAAAATGTAAAAATCGGGTCTCCCTCACTGGTATTGCCTTTAAATTGTCAATAACGCAGAGAAATCACTACTGTCATCAATAAACATCCCTACTGTAATGTTTTTATCTCTCGGAAGAGGCCATAGAATATTTACTTTATTATTATTGTTTTAAACCTGGTGAAAAAAAATGAGGATGGTTGAAAACTTCAAACCTGGTGCGATTCCACTGAATTAATTAATGAAATTTATTTATTTATTTATTCATTCATTTATTAATTGATTTTTTCCCATGAAATCTACAAGTTGGGATTGGAAAACAACTGCTAATAGGCCTTTATAAAGGGTCATGTGCGCGCGCGCTCACTCCATTGGCGCTCCTCTTCCTCCCGTTTCCCGGTTAGGTGGTGTGTGTGGTGGGGGGTGTGATGGATGTGACGTGGCCCGTCACTCCAGCCAATCACTGCCAGAGTTGAGGATAATATTAAGGGAAAGTTGGACTGGAAGACGGAGGCCGTCTCTTTCTTTCTCTCTCTCTCTCTCACTCACTCGCACTCTCTCTCTCTTTTCTTTTTCCCTTTTTTTCTTTTTTTTTTTAGAGGAGGAAAAAATTCCCTTTCCGTCGCCGTCTCGTGTGCGAGGTTTCCCTCCGCGCGCGAAGGAAACACGCTTCCATTGAACGAGAGCTCAATTTAGGAGGAAGCGGAGGAGAGAGGCTGGACAGTGAGCTAGACCTTCTTCTTCTTCTTCTTCTTCTTCTTTTGTTTAGCGTCGAGAAGTTCCACGCGCAGCTCGCTGGACTGGATATTATCCACTCGAGGGAAGGAATAGTTTTGTGAAATTTCTCCAGAGGTGTTTTTCCGCGCGCCCTTGCTCTGGGATCCGCGAGCCTACATACATATGGTCCGGCTGAGGGGGACTCACGCGGACGCAGCCTAAGGTGAGCTGGTGATTTGCACTCCTCTCCTTCACGTACATGAGCAGTAAACAGGTGCACGTAGTCAGATTTGTCTGATATTGTAGCTGCAAAACAAACCTTTAGCACACGTGCAAACGAGCGCGTGCTGTCAGACTTTCCACCTGAAAATGAAACTAATGAAAAAAGTGACGCTTTTTAACTGACGCTAAATGACGCTGAGTGCAAAACGGCATCGCTTAATCGGACTTCAGCAACGAGGAAATCTGCCTAAAAAACACAACAATCCCCAACTGTCAACTGCAAAAATCCCTCAAAGTAATCGCCTCTTACAAAATCTGGAAGGCTCGCGTATTTACATTAGCGAGAATAAGACCAACAGCCTGTTTTGTTTACAACGTCATTTGAAAATTAATATATACGCCCATACGAGGTTCGCACGCGATCGTCTCCGACACGAGGCGAGTCGTGTTATTACAAAGTCCTAAATTAAAAGGAGCGTATTTACGTATGTTATTAAAACCCATAATAAAATTCGGTTGCTTAACGTGTATAACTATATTTTTATCGTTTTATTTTAATGCATATTCTTTGGAGGCCCATATACTGTTTTTTTAAAATTATTATTCACCAATAACGCGCCATTCTACACACTAGCTGCCCCTTATTAAACTTTTAAATGGTTTAACAGGAGATTTTAGTCATGCTGTTGGAAATTGAGAGCGTAAACTTTAGCCCTAAATGCAGATTACACGGTTCATAAACGCTGTCACAACTGCAGCACGTCAGGTTATTGGGATCATTCATAGCGCACACCTTTTACTACAAGCCACCACATAAAACAGCATGCATGTTACAATACAGCCCAATATAAACCTTATTACATAAAAAAATAAATCTCACTATTTACAACACAATGTACACATTAGTATTAAACACAATGCACACCTTATAATTTAAAGTAATATATATTGATATTGTAACATAAAACAAAACCTCAACCTCTCACCAAATGCATCACCCATAAAACCCAATGCCACCTTACTATGTAACCCAATACGTCCTTGCCTTATAACTCAATATACATCTAACCATATAATCACACACGTTAAAGCAGTTAAAACAATCCCAGATGGTCAATCTACACAAAGCAAAGGTGAGGATCATTACAACCCATTAGTCCACCACTACCACACTTTCTTACAGCCTAATGAAATGGAATAATGTGTGACTTTGCTCATTTTTGGATAAATGGACAGCGATCATGGCGCCAGGCAAGGTGCCATTGCCCACCAGGAGAAAAAAAAAAAGAAAGAAAGAAAAAAAAAGAAGAGAGAGATGTTTGGCAGACCCCCTCCCCCCAAAAAAACAGTCACTGCATGTGTAACAGCGAGCACTCGCCAACTCTACAATTACAGCAAACTGAGACGATAAAGCTCCTTTCACACATTGACCCCCTTTTCCCCCCTTCACCATATAAATTACTGGCGTTTAGTTATATTTCGTAGTCTCTCTCTCTCTCTCTCGCTCTCTCTCTCTCTCTCTCTCTCTCTCTTCTGTTCCTCCAAGAATGACGTCAGATGTATTCACTCCAGTCCCCTCCCCTTGTTATTATTTTTTTTTTCTTTCTGAAAAACTTTAGAGAGAGAGAGAGAGAGAGAGAGAGAGAGAGAGAGAGAGAGAGAGAGAGAGAGAGGCGCCCTGAGAGCGTTTTGCCTGAGGGAAAATAGCGACAAGATTAGAGTCTCTCTTTTTTCTTATTCCAGTGCCAGGCTGCTAATCCGAGTTGGGCTAATTGATGGAGGCGCTTTCTCCAGCCCATCCGAGCGAAGCAGCCCCCAAAAAACAACTAAACAAATATTTGATTTCGACCCTTAAAACCACAGGTTCCATCACTGAACGAAGAGTTAAGTGTGGATATACTGGAGCGTTAAAAGATAATGGCTGCAGATCCAGTTCAGCCCCAGAGGAATCAGGTGCGCGTTGCTTTAGAATAAAACAACAGGTTACAAATCCGCTCAGCCAATGAAAGTGAAGGAAAGAAGATGACAGTACAGCGCGAGGTAGCTGGGAACACAGTGATGATAAAGCAACGCACTGTGCCTTAATAGGTCTGCATGCAAAATTACACACCATTAAAGTGAATTACAGGTGAAGAACCACGGCGGACTTCATCAGGTCTTTAATATCGTCTTAATTGTTGCGTAAATTAGCCTCAATTCAGCTACACGGCTACATTAACGTGCTTTAAAGAGAAATAAACAACCAAACAAGCAGCTTTAAGAAATAAACATTAAGTTTAGAAGTTTTGAAAAGATGTTAAAAAAAACGTGCTAAAATGATTGTTAGGACAAAATAATACAAACTATATGCAAATAAATGTGTATATTAAAAAAAAATAAAGGTGTATAAAAGGGTTTCTTTGCAGGAGAACCACTTTTGGTTCCCTTAGGAACCTTTTAAGGATGCCTCTTTACAGAACCATGTTTTAAAAACCATATTTTCAGTTGAAAGAAGTCATGTAAAGGTTCCATCTACGAAGAACCCTTAAACTGGAAAATGTGAGGTTTCTTAAACATGGTTCTTAAGGGAACCAAAAGAAGTTCTTAGCTCAAAGAAGAAGCCTAAAAGAAGTTTTGTAAATATTGGTAAACAAAGATGAAAATAAAGAAACAAAACAAAGCGCGTGAAGGGAGTTTGGTCCATGAATGTCTATCTAAGAAGGCAAACGAGAACACAGGACAGGAGAAGCGCCCTGGAACAGATAAGCGCGTGCATACGCGGGGTTGCAGTCCGGGCCGCGCTGACAGTAGGGCAGCTCATTATCGGCCTCCCCCATTCACGCGGGCTTTGAGCGCGAGGAGCTGCTCGGCAGAGTCGTTTGTCTCCTCCTTTGTGCCTTATATTGGGGAATGCAATGGTTGTCAGAGCTCTTATTCACTTTTCGCCATAGTTTATTGATGAGCTCTGACTTTTCTCTTTTTTTTTCTTCTCCGGCACTTTTCACACGTCAGAGCCCGAGTCAAGTGTACGCAGCCACACACACAACTTCATTTGTGCTCAAAACATTTCGCCCCCCCCTTCTCTTTAGACTACCCCACTATGCCACACTCACACAACTTCATTTGTGCTCCAACACAATTTTAGCCCCCACTCTCTCTCTCTCTCTCTCCTCTCTCTCTCTCTCTCTCTCTCTCTCTCCCTCTCTTTCTCTTTAGACGACCCCACCATGCCACACTCTCTTCTCTCTCCCACCCTCCCTCCCTCCCGACTCCATTTCACACACCCCGACCCGGAATCTATTCCTTTCCAACAAATGAGTGGGACAGGCCTGAGCTGGGAGAGGGGCTCGGGGTGCATGCATCCCCAAACAGAGGCGCCGAGGGGTTGCTTTGGGGTTTACCGAGCTGTGCACTAATGCCCAAGCAATCAGCACATGTAGTTTGGAGTGTCTGGCCATGCTGGTAAAGGCCTAATGATATTTTTATTTACGCTCGCGCTCTCGCCACCCCCCACCCTCCTCCTCAGCAGCGAGCAACTTGCTCCAACTTCTTTTCTTTTTTTGTCTTTTTCTCTCTTTTTCCCCCATTTAAACATGATGAAAATAGTATGGGGTCCACTCGTTAAAAGAGCAATACAACACGCAGAAAACCAAGTTGGCGGGTTTTTTTTTTTTGTAGCAAAGCGCTTTGCAAACTGGGAAACTCGCAATGCATGAGCATGCTTAGGTACTAATTATACAGCGGTGCTTCTGAAAAACTCTGAAATGGCTTTTACAGCACATACAAAATCAATGCCAGCATTACATTTTTGACATTTTAGGCATTCTTCATTAAGAGAAACCAAAAAACAACCCAAAAATGGCTGCGTAAACGGTTCAAAAATGGTGCACGGTTTACTTTAAAACGCACACTTTCATTTTTCCCCTCCACCTTTTCCCACGGCGGAGCCCCCCACCGTCCAGCAGCGTGCTGAAAAAAACCAGCTGCGAACAGTGTGGGAGAGAAAAAGAGAGAGAGAGAGAGGGCGAGAGAGGAGAGGGAAGAGAGAGGGCAGCATTTGCGCATTTGCATGCGTGCATTAGTGTGATTTAGTGCAGTGCAGTCGGAGCAAGGCTGTAGCCGGACCCCTGGTTCCCCCGCGTGCGTTTGCCCGGGCTGCGCTGGTGCAAACTAGGTGGAGGGGGGGGTGGTTGGTGGGGGTGGTGGGTGGGGGGCAGGAGGAAGTGTTTGGCTGGGAGATGATGAGATGATGACAGAGGTCAGAAGAGGAGTGGAAGGGAGGCACAGAGCAGGAGAACACACATTAATGCACGAGGAGCACCATCGCCAGCCAGCATAGGTGCTCCATCTTTCTCTCTCTCTCTCTCTCTCTCTCTCTCTCTCTCTCGCTCTCTCGGTGCTGTTCATCCCATTTTTATTGCCAATCTCTGTTTCCCTTCCTTCCTGCAGGGATTTCTTTTTTTCTCCTCGACGCCAATTGGAAACTATAAAGGACGACAAAAACTATTCTGAGGAAGCTTTTTCTCTCGTCGCCATCGTCTGTTTATCTGGCAACGAAGAAGCGCTAACGAGGAATCGCAAACCGCAGAGCTGAACATGCCGCAAAAAGGTGAGTTTACAGTGTTGTTTTGTCCACTCTTTTTGTGCACTTGTTGTAGGGAGAGCGTAAGGGCTGCTGCGAGTGGGCAACATTGCCTCGCCTTCTCTTCAACACTCCTCAAAAAGTAAACGCGCGATTGCTAAGCTCAGCTCTCAGCCGGAGGTGTTTGATTTTTTGCGACAAAAAGCGCAGAAGAAAAAAAGGAAATAAATTCTGAAGTTGTAGTCCGTGTAGGCTTGGTCTGCATAGCCGAGGCTAGAGACACCTCGAGCTCATTTGCTTTAAAGCAGTGTCAGTTTTAGGACGCGCTCTGCCCGCTCTGTATTTGCCCGTTTTAAATGTGGAGTTTTTGCGTTTAGCGCAATGTTTGATAAAAAATAGTAAAAAGTTTGAGGAAGGCCAAGCGCGCGATGGGCGCAGATATCGTGCAGGCAGTAACCCAGCCTCACACACACACACACACACACACACACACACACACACACTCTATTTCACACACACACTAGAAAAAAAGCACCGTGAACTTGATGTGGTTTCACTTTAAATTCATGGGAACGCGCTGTTTTCTACCAACATTATTAATCGTTTATAACTTTAAAACTTTCACGAAAACTTTCAGCTTTAAACTGGGCCTACGGAGCAAACTGGAATTACTCACGTACGATTAACCGTTATTAACTGAATAGTAAAATTATTCAAACTGTATTTATAGAAATTTTAGAAATTATACGGTCATTCGTCAAATTCTCAATCGCTATTTTTTTTTCAGAAATTACACTTGAAAAAAAGTTTGTAAAACTTAAAGTTTGCTGAAATAAAATGTAACCCAAAATCGTAAGGATAATTTATCCTAAATTAATTAAATTATATCTAACTGCAGCCCCTATAAAATTGTAGCGATTTTAAAAAATGACAAATAATAATATTTAAAAAAAAAATCAAAAATGTTTTCATCCTTAGCACTAAGATCTGACACTCCAGGCCTACACTTGCAGTTCAAGGATGTTGTTATTGCTAAAAATACCGTTTCTGTGCATGTGAATACGCTGGTAGTAAAACCCCTAAAGCCTGGAGTAAGCGTGTTTAATTAAGGGGCTTGACGTTGCACATTAGAGCGCGTAAAATGCAGATTAGGCCTCGCCATTAAAACACATCATTAACTACAGAGGAACATGCAGGCTAGGACCCACATCACCCAGACCATGCAGGAGCAAAAAAATAGCCGGCACTTTTTTTCTTTCTTCTTTTTTTTGCGTCTCGAAAGTGGCAAACATTTTACCGTATAATCATGTATTTATTTTTTTTCAATTGCATTAAATAACGTTTATTTTTATTTCAAACTAATATAAACTAGGCTGGTGCTAAAACTGTTAACTGACATGCATTGTGCATTAAAAAAATGTAGTGTTGCAAAAAAACTTGAGTGCATTTTGAAACACGTGCACGCGCGCACGGCCCGGCGCTCGCTGTATACATTTATTTGCGAACACGCACTGTAAATACACACACAGTCCATCTACTTTAAAAGGGAAAAATAAAAAAGCAGGGGGGTTTAGAAAGAGAGAAAATCAAAGCTGGGACTATTTCTTCAATGGCCTCCTTTTCCTCAAATGTACTGAATGGCCTCTTTAATGCAATTGTCTTTTACCAATTGAGCGCCCCACTGCGCTGTTGTAGCGCTTTTTTTCCAGCCCCTAACGACACATACCAGCAACACAATTACGCCCGAATACTTATAAGAAGAAATTACTTTTCTATTTCGCGCGCCAATACAAAATCCAACCATTGGGGTAAACGGGCAGCGGGTCAGGGCTAGCTGGACTGGCTGTGTTGGGGAGAAGGGGGCGATGAGATGGGTGTAGGGGGAGTTTTTCTGACATGGGGAGGGGGGGGGGTCCCTTCCCTTCAGCTCTTTGTATCTTCTCAGAGTTGTTGGTACGTTTAGTTGGAAGCTGTGTAGCTAGTTAGGGAGCCCCGGGTTTTACTCTCTGGGTTTTGGTGTCGAGGCAGAATAGGAGGCATTGTTCACATCCAGCGGCCTTTGTTTGGTGGCCTTCACCCCCTCCTGCCTTCACTTTTACGGAGCAGCCAGGCGAGGTAGACAGCGTGTGGCACCACAAGAGTGGATCTGAAGTGCAGAAAAAGAGTAGCCCAGTCTCCCCCCCACCTCCCCCAAACCACCAGCACCACCACCACCCACCTCCCCAAACCTCCCAACTCCAACTCCAATCCCAACCCCGGTCCCAAAAAAATAACCCCAAAGTTTTTCCTTGGCGAAGTAACAGCCATAGCTACGTAAAGAAGCTACGCAAATGACTAGAAGATTGTACACAAACTCTCACCAACCTCCCCCAGTCCTCCCTGACCCATGCACAACAGCAGTGTTGTAGGTGCAATGCAATGAGACATAATCCTGGCTAGAGAAGGTGTACTAATAAAATGTTTTGCTTTGTCCTAGGGAATTATTAACTAGTGTGACGCAGATGAGTCTATAAATTGTTTTAAGCGGACAGTCAACAGTTTCCAGGCAAGTTTAACCCGCTGGATTATCTAAAACTACACTTTGTGGAGACAGTACTTGCTGTGCTCAGAGCATCCTGCATTGTAATCAATGTCCGTAACGTTTCTGCACACATATAGCAAAGAACTAAAACCATAAATAAAAAAAATATATATATATCAAACTCAAAACATTTGAAATGCAATACATTTTACTCCTTAAAAGAACCGTCATATGAAAACTGACCATGGCTATTGTTTCTTTATGACTAATAGAATACTATAACCGGACCACGTGGGAGTCTGGTGTAGCTTCCATGATGCAAAACAGTAAGTGGAGTTTCTCTCTCTCTCTCTTTTTTTGTTCTTGTTTTATTTATTTATGTATGTATGTATTTATTTATTTATTATTTACTTTTACTTTCCCTCCCGATGTGTTTTGACGTGAGCGTGTGACGGGCGTCTAGACGTGTGTTTTTGGTGTGTTAGTCGAGCCAGTGCTACAGTGGTATCCGGGTGTGGCAAGCGCCAAAACTTTTTATTTATTTATTTATTTGTTGACAAGCTCATTTCAAATCAAGCAGAAGAGCAGAACACGCGCTAATCCATGTATTACTTACATGTATGACTTCTTATTACTGTTTATCTTCTTAAAGTGGGGCCAGGATAAAAAAAGATCCCGATTTCCAGGGAAAAAAAGCATGATGTCCCACTTTAACAGCGTCTTCATCTGTATAATGTGAACATGTGAGAGAGATTGCTATTACTGCATTGACGTTAGCATTAGCTGCCAGTGCACTCAGCACACAGACGTTTGAGCATGTTTCTGAAAGAATGTGGGAGGAGAAAAAAATGACAGGACTTCTCCTTTTTTTTGCTGTGCACTGACTAAAGTGAGAATAAACACTGCTGGTTGAAAAATTTCTCCACATCTGAGAGAGAAAAACAGCACATATGTCGAAGTGATTGTTTAATTAATGGGCTACATATGGAGAGATCAGAGGCTGTGAAGATATGATTATCAGTATCATCTCCTTGGCAGGATAACAATAAACCAGACATATTTTTTCTCTTAATGCTGGACAAGAGGTGTATGACATCTGTAACGAAGGTGTGTTGAATGTCATCATATCTTTTTATTTTATTTTATTTTATTTTTTCCCCAACGTGTTAGATCTGTAACATCTTCATATACTAACATGGAGAATATTGTTTTTTACTTTGTTTATTTCATTTGTTGGTTCACTGTACATCAGCATCATTTGATAGACTTCCATACTTTTCAAATCTGGGTCAGCTGAAGTGTGCAGGACAAGGGCCAGCCTTTCTTATTTTATGAAGACCATATTTTCAAATATATGCTTATATTTGCAAGTAATTTTAGCACAACATTATATGCATGTGCCATTAAATTTATTGGTACCACTTTAAAATAAGACCACTTTTATAAAGTGATCATGAATGGCTTAAAATGTATTTAATAATGGTTATTAATTAGGTCTTAAAGACCTTATAATCACTAATAAGCATTTGCAACACAAATAAAAAGGGTAACAGTGACCTGTTTGTTTGCCTAATAGATAATTATTTATACAGTTAAACCTCATATTTCAATCTTACTGTGTCTTTATCATCAGTCAGCATTAAACTGTCACATATTCATATTCATCAGGTATAACAGCTCATTTTTGCCCATTTTATTAATGCGTTATAACTGCTTATTAATGATTAATGAAATGTTTATGACCTAATCACTATTAACAAACTATTTTAAACCATTCATAAGAGTAGTCTTATTTTAAAGTGCTATCCATTTTATTTATACTCTCATTATTTACTGATTGAATTGAAGATCGTGTTGTACTCGACGGTGATGAACTCGTGTTTGATCTCCTGCGTATTTACCGAGCCGCGCGCGTGCTTAAAGGTCACGGCTGGCTCTCCCAAGCTTTTATGCTAATAACACTCCTGAGTGTATATTTCCAAATTGACACCATATGCCTTGCCTGCTCATTGATTAGATGTAGAATACAAGGCGCGTTAATTATTGCCACTGGGGACTCATAGTGATTAAGACTTCACCTTTGGAGAGAAAGTTGGATTTTATGTCTTAATCTGTGCACTGGCACGGTCAAAATGGCTTTATTTATTTATTTATTTTGGAGGAGGAAGCCATAAGGGACGTATGGTCCCAGAGCCAATAAATCTTCAATATGCTTATCCTCGCTGACCTCTCCGTAGAGGAAAAAAGGGACAATTGATTTACTCTAATCCTGAATTAAGCCCCCCAAAACGACATGGTGATGGACTTTCCTTTTGCCATGTTACAGTGTGTTTTTTTCAGGCTGCAGTTAGGCCAGAAAACTGAACACGTCCACTGGCGGTGCGTCATGTACAAAAACATCTAGTCGCAATGCAGGAGTTCAGATTTGCGCTGATCCAAAAATTAGCGTTTTATTTATGATTGCATGACACAAATCGACGCACGCACGAGCCCACAGGAACAGTAGCTACTTTAAGTCTAAAATATGTGGTGGCCTGCATGCAATATTGTTCAGGTTCAGTCTCATATATATATATATATATATATATATATATATATATATATATATATATATATATATATATAGGTTTGTTTATTTACCGTGGCTAAAAAATGCGTGCCCGCGCGTTCGCTCCCAATGCTTAAATATAGGCTCTAAAAAAAGTGTCACTTTTAATATACTATAAAGCCAAGCGCGTCCCCGTGAACGTGCCCGCGCAGCCCCCCCAACCCCTCCGGCTACCTTAAAACTGAAGCTTCCCCCCCCTTGAAGGCTAAATGAGTAGAGTCCAATAGAGTCTGAGCGCTATCCAAATGCGGACAGAAAGGCTCGTTTTTATCATGCTACCATTTGTCGTGGCGATGCGGGGTTCACGAGCAGAGCCGTGACAGGAAGTGACATGGCCTGCCACGAGCGCTCGGGCTCATCTTTTCAATTAGCCTTCCGTGCATGATCCGGGGCGACTTCCGCCCATTTCCAGAAATTAAGCTCAAACTTGACGTGCAGCTAGCTTTATTTTAAAGACAAATGTCAGGCAGGCTCATCATATTTTTTTTCCTCCCCTTCTTCTATATTTGGAGCTTATTTATTGCTAAGGAGCTCGTGCTCTTGGACTCCATTTAACGGGAGGCGTCGCGGGGAAGGGGTCTGAGAAGTAGGCAGTGAAGGGAAGCCACAGCACCGCGGCTTTCTCTGGGCTTTCTGGGTTTTGGGCGACTGAGTTCAGGTTTGGTGCCTTTGCTCTTTCTTATTTAAGAGGGCTTTTTCTCTTTTGCTGGAGCCGCTTGCTGTTGATGAGGGGAGAAAAAGTCAGCTTGGACTAAGTGGTTCCAGAGGCGCGCGAGTTTAGTTTGATGCGATTTAAAGTTGCTCTCCTTGGATGGAGCGTAAGGCTGTGGGCAGCGTTTAAGAAGCATTTACTATAGAAGGCAAATGCCAACAAATAGCATTAACGCCACCTGATCCGGGTTAAGGCTTTACAGGGTTTTGCAAAGATGCGCAAAAATCTGCGCTCAGCTGGAGACTGGAGATGAGGATGAGGATGGTAGCGTAGAGATGTGTTATCATTCAGAACAGACTGCATTAGCAGATAATGACACTTCGAGCACATCTGGAGAACAATAGCAAGTACATGACGGATTCAAGAGTGGAGCTGGTTATGAACCTGACTTGTGGAGAGATTTCATTTTGACCCGTTTATAGGATTTTATTTTTGTTTAAATGCATGGCAACATTTCTTTTCTTTTGCACAGTGAACACTGCACTGCGTTGCGGTCTCGCGAAGTGACCTTGCTGAAGTGTTGAGCGCTGTTATTTGCTGTTTGTTGTTTTGTGTGCTGACCGTAAGGTAACTCGGACGCTCGCTCTTGTCCTGTCCAGGTCACAGTGGGGTGAACCAGCTCGGCGGAGTGTTCGTGAACGGCAGACCGCTGCCGGACTCTACCAGGCAGAAGATAGTGGAGCTCGCACACAGCGGCGCGCGACCCTGCGACATATCCCGGATCCTGCAGGTCAGTGGACAATGCAAACTGCATTCGTTTAATAGTAATGTTACTACTCCTTGTTATTATTGTTATTATTATTATTATTATTATTATTATTACTACTACTACTACTTTTGGTCGCGTGCATGCATGGTCTAAAGCGACAGTCTAATACAAAAAGCATCATAATACAACCCATAACTTTTGAAACGTTTTATTTAAGCTTTTTTGCTTTTTTAAAATTCGTGCACTTTAAAAATAAAGGCATTTTCAGTCTGTTTTGATTACATTTATTCTGTTAACATCTTTTCCCTTTCATTTATGTCAGTAAGCGAGTGGACTGTCAATATCTACTGTGGAAAACTGTCTATGTGGAAATAAATAACCTTTAAAATTACAGTTGCAATTGGCTCGGTCTCCTGGCAGATCCACCCATGCCATCTCCCAAAACATCCCGAATCGATTCGTTTTAATGCATTAAAAAAAAGAAAAAAGAAAAGAAAAGAAAAGAAAGGAAACATGCATACAGAGTTTCTCGTACCACTGAAGGTATATATTTCTTGTGTTATAGACCCAAGCTGATGCAAAAGTCCAAGTGCTGGACAATGAAACCGTAAGCTTATCATTGTTTGGACGCTTTACACATAACATTCCACGCGCGTTTGAAATTAATGTCATGCGATTTTCTTTGTGTGTGTGTTTGTTTTTTGCCCCCCGCCCAGGTGTCCAACGGCTGCGTGAGTAAGATTCTGGGCAGGTATTATGAGACGGGCTCCATCCGACCGCGCGCCATCGGAGGCAGCAAACCCCGAGTAGCCACTCCCGAGGTGGTCAGCAAAATCGCCCAGTTCAAGAGGGAGTGCCCGTCCATCTTCGCGTGGGAGATCCGGGACAGACTGCTGTCAGAGGGCATCTGCACCAACGACAACATCCCGAGCGTGAGTTTCAGAAAGCACGCGCGAATAAACAACAATGCGCTTGTTCCCGGGTGGCACTGAGTGCGCAAAAATGAGCTCGCGCAGCCTCTGCCAGCCTCTGCACGACCTTGAACGAGAGACTGTAGCCTAGAATCGATCGGCTGTCTCTGTTCCAAAACAGTCTTTATTTATTTATTTAATTAATTATTTATTTTAACAAGTTTTGTGCAAGCGCTCTGGCATTCGCGCCTGGGCAGTGCCACTGAGGTCAGGCGTTTCCAAAAGCCCAGAAAAATGCCATCTCTAGATAATGAGACGTGCCCGAGCAATGCGATGCCATCCCGTGTCTTCGCTCTCGTCTTTCAGGTGTCATCCATAAACAGAGTGCTGCGCAACCTGGCGAGCGAAAAGCAACAGATGGGCGCAGATGGCATGTATGAGAAGCTGAGGATGCTGAACGGACAGACGGGGACATGGGGCACCCGGCCGGGCTGGTACCCCGGAACCTCCGTGCCAGGACAGCCCAATCAAGGTAGGACGGTGCTGCGATTTTCATTAACGATTAGCCCGTGTTTCAGTGCCTTCTTTAAGATAATACTTTCTCACGTTGTGTATTATTATTAATATTATTATTATTATTATTACTATTTATTATTATTTTATTTTTTATAGTTTTATTCTTACAATTATCACATTCATATTTTGTTATAAAGTATTATAACACATTCATAGTAGAGGTATTATGATTATTATTGTCATTATTGTCTTATCATGATTGTCATTGCTGTTGCTGTTGCTACTATTGCTATTATTATGGAATATTTTAAGTGTAGAGATTTAATTATAGGAGGAACCCTGATTATCCGCAACGTTACACAGTTATAGAACGTTATAAACGATTAATTACGTAATATCGCTCCATATTAGCCATTTATAGACTGGATCAATCAAAAAAATGAACTAAGGGGGCTGTTTGACTTACAAACTGAAAATATATCAACAATAAATAAATAATGTGTGGTATTTATTTAATCAGTTTGCATAAAGTGGACAGAAATTAATGACAGTAATTTAAATTACATAAAAATTGGACTGAACTGTTTCAATTTTGTTCCATCAGCGGTTGAACTTTAGTTGAAGTCTGTGTACACTGACCATTTGTTTATAAAAAAAAATGTGGCATAATTAAATTACGTTCACATAACTATTTCTGAGTGCAGAGCTGCAGATGACCATTTTTCCACCAATTACTGACCACAATGACATAGCTATGTTCCTCAGAAACCAATCTAGTCGATAGAAATCAATCAACCTGTTGTTAGTCTGAGCCCACGAGGGGTGCGTTCAGAATTGTGGCGTGTTTTCAATCTGCATTTTGTCACTTGCCACCCCCCCATACCAACCCCCCCCACCTGCCTGTATTGGGGGGGGGTAAAAAGAAGTGCGGATATCTGTACAAAAGGATGTTTCTGTCACGCGTTAGAATTTGTTATGGGAACAGTGCTGTGGCTGTGTAATTGCTCATTAGAGAGCGTTTTGTATCTCATTAAGGCGACATGAATGAGCGTCTAGCTGCAGAGAGACAGCAGCTGCAGAAATGCTCGCGGCTCCCCCTCATCACCAATTACACATGTCACTTTATAAGAGCACTGCGCAGAGCGCGGGACGGACACGAGGAACATCTACAGAATGCTCTTTGCTTTCTGTCTAATATCTGTCTATTAAACCCCTGACCCATTCACGACAACCACACAGCAATTAGCACCTGACTACAAAAAGTCCTGCTTGCTTCTTTATAAGAGCTGGAGAGTTTGAGGAAACTATGACAAACAGTGTCATGTAACCCCATTAGTGCACAAAGGTGAAGCACAGTCTAATCCTGAGATGCTCTGTTGGGTTACCAGTAGAATTCACCGACAAAATGTTTGCGAACAGTTTATTTTCAACCAACAGAAGCTCATAACTTTAGTAATAATGAAAACTTTAGGGACTGCATTACATGTAAGTTTTTTCACGTCTATATAGGCTGTTAAAATGTTATAGTGAATCAATCTAGGGCCCCATTAATGATGGTTTCCAAAACTCAGGGTTGCAGGGTTCATCTTAAAGTGCGTCTATATCCCTTAACACGTTTCCTCCGCGGGCCCATTTCTATTTTTATACGAGTAAAAGGACGGAGGAGTCCATTCCCCCTCTCTCCGCACACGCAGGGCAGGGCGAGGTCCCCGAGGAGGACAAACATGGTCTCAATCTGATGACTGTCACGTCAACACTGAATAAAACAGTGGATTCATCTGGACTGACAGCAGCCTAAAAGAGAGACAACTCAGTCTTAATGAGTGGACTTCAAGCTCCCTCTCAATGACCAGTCAGAGCGCCTGCCCCCTTTTTTCTCCTCTGCTTATAAGCTCTGAAGACAAGCCATCTATAGGACTTTTTTTTAGCTTGTTTTTTTTTACATAGAGGTCCTTGCATGTTTGGACCCGGTCCTGAGCCGCTGAAAGATATAGCAGTTGTTGTATTTGCTTCAGCTGTCTCTATTGAGCAGTGATTTTATTTTCCCACAGGCAAATCCAGTGAGAGTTTTTAAGGACGGCTGATAATAGGACTAAGATTCTTTCTTTTTAAACAGATTAACTCTTACAGATTAAGTATAGAGCACATTTAAACTGTAATCTCAAACAGTGCGGGTAACAGGAAATCTAGAATGAAGCAATTAGGCCACTGCAGATCTAGCTGCAAGCTTTATACTAAGATAAAATGTATATTATTTAGTGGCTCTGCTAAATAAGACATTAATTAATCTGTTATAGTTCACTGTATATACGTAATTACACATTTAAGTTCTAATCTCAAACAATATGGATAATATGAGATCTAGAATGAAATCTCTAGCCTTGCTGTAAGCATCAAAGACAAAATGTATAGTATTAAATCTATTTGCAATATAAGGCAAATGGGACAGTAATCAATTTGTTATAGTTTGTTATATATATATGTAATTACACATTTAAGTTAATCTCAAACTATATTGGACAATATAAGATCTAGAATGAAATAGCTATAATATAGCTTTTCTGCAAGCATCAAACAAAGATAAAATGCATATTATTTAATCTATTTCCAATATAAGACATTAATTGATTTGTTATAGTTCACTATATATATGTAATTACACATTTCAGCTCTAATCCCAAACAATACGGGCGATATAGGATCTAGAACGAAACAATTAGGCTGAACTTTATGATGCAGCATTATACAAATAAAAATGTACATTATCTAGTCTAATTGGCAATATATGGCACTACCAAATGAGACATGACCTAATGTATTATAGTTCACTATCTAAATGTAAGTACACATGTAGTTTAGGTTAGTATATTTTATTTACTGATGTAGAGAAAGAATAAAAAACTTATTTATAAAGTTTACAAACTCTTTATTGTTCCACAGCTCAATTGAGTTCAACTGCAGACCATTTCCTTGCCTATAAGCCCGACTGTAAGAGTGCAGTAAAAGTGTGCAGCTCAGTCGTGACCTATAAGGCAGCACTGCTCAATATAAGGGTTTTAATTGAGCGCAACGATGTTACACTAGTTTGCACCAACGCAGCAGGTTAAAGCATATCGGCTCCCAGTCGGCTCCGCTGTCCCCTTTTCTCTCCCTAACAACACTCTGCTCATTGAGAGTGTTTCATTCACAGCGCTTTTCTTCTTGCGCTGCCTATAGAAGGCATAAATCCTATGTGAGGCTGAACGGGGCAGCCTCGGGGACAGTGATTAATGATGGTCGTGCATAAAGGTTAACACACACTGAGCTGAAAAGGTCTGTTGACTGAAATCCTCGTGCTACAATGAGGGCCGCTGCAAAGCTCGCGAGAATCCTTTTGTGGCCTCCCTTCAATTGTGTCTTCACACTTCTAGCCATGAAAGTTTGCCATCCCTCCCCAGAGCGAGTGTTTTAACACTGGCTAACTCTCTGGGCATTGTGTGTCTGTGAAAGCATCCCCTTCCATTCAAGGATTGGTGCTGGCTACCTCAATGGGCCTTCAAACGGCCATATGGTATGGAGCCATAGGCTGTGTGGAAGAAGCTCACTCATTGCGACTGAAGATGCTGAAGTTTTAAAACATTTCATTGGGCTAAGGTGACCATTTTTTTGTCACTAGCCCATAAACACCACCTCCCCCCTTCACACACACCTCCCCCAGGCTTGGCAAATGCTGGTGCACGGTGCTAAAAGCTCTGAGCACTGAGGCTGCCGCACTTATTTTCCCACATGAGCTGTTTTTTTTTCAGGGGGGCTATAAAAGAGACTTGTTGTGGTTGTTCCAATTCTAAGCTATTTTATTGACATACACATCAATCCACTTTGTGTCAATATATAATGCTTATGTATATATGTATATATATATGTATAAACACACACACACACACACACACACACACACATATATATATATATATATATATATTTATATATATATATATATATATAAATTGCTTTGGAACCTCATATTACCAAAACAGTAACTTTACAAGATAAGGAACTTTCAATGGAAGTTCATGGAGCAAGTTTCTCACTTTTATATATTATATATTTATTTTTATAAGCAATTAAGTAATTTGGTTTTGATCACTTTTTTCTGTTTTTTGCTGCTATATTTTAATGATGAATCATAAAAAAACAACACTTTGAGACTAACTTAACTTTTTGTGCTTATGTTCATTCTAAACTGCTTAATTGGCACATATGAATGGCAAATTGCAACTTCAGTCAACATGTCAAACTGAAAAGCCTACAGCTGTTGATTTTAGCCTATAGATTTTCAATCTATTCTTGCTTTCCTTTGACAGACGGCTGCCAACAGTCAGATGGAGGTGCCGAGAACACCAACTCAATCAGCTCAAACGGTGAGGACTCAGAGGAGGCCCAGATGAGACTGCAGCTGAAGAGGAAACTGCAGAGGAATCGCACTTCTTTCACGCAGGAACAGATAGAAGCACTAGAAAAAGGTACGACAAGACAATGATGGCATCGAAGGTCCCATTAGGGCGTTAAATGCTTTGACTGTGTATAAAGTCATATCCAGTCTAGAGTGTTTTTGGATAAAGGTTCTGATAAGTGGCCAAGAAATAGAACAGACTATAATCTTGCATTTAGCCAACACTTAGTAATTTAAAACTCATGGCATTGATGTGATGTTTCAGAGTTTGAAAGAACGCACTATCCAGACGTTTTCGCACGAGAGAGACTTGCTGCGAAAATCGACCTACCGGAGGCCAGAATACAGGTGAGCCATCCAAACCCATTAAACACTTCTAATGACTTCTAATAGCTAATGACATTAATGACAAATGGGTTCTAACAACCGCTGCTCTTCCAGGTGTGGTTCTCAAACAGAAGAGCGAAGTGGAGGCGAGAGGAAAAGCTACGAAATCAAAGACGACAAGCCAACAACTCCAGCAGTCACATACCCATCAGTAGCAGTTTCAGCACAAGCGTCTATCAGCCAATCCCTCAGCCAACCACACCAGGTCAGTGAAGTAAAAGATAAATAATCCACTGACTACAATCTTAAAAATAAAGGTTCCTGAATGGTTCTTGGCCTGGACATAGGTATAGAACCTAAACACTATGTAGAGGGTCCTTATGCTCACACTTACAAAGAACCATGGATTGAAAGCTCTTCAGGGAATCAAAGGTAGTCCTTCTATGGATCGCTCCAAAGAACCCTTTGTGGAACCATTGTTTTTTAGAGTGTAGAAGAAGTTTGAGCAAAATCGCTTCCCAAGATCTCACCAATATTGCTGTGGATTTGCATTGTTGTTGGGATATCAATTATAATTTTAATATGTTAATCAAAACCTCTCTTTGCTTGTCCTTTCAACAGTGTCCTTTACTTCAGGCTCCATGCTGGGACGGTCAGACACAGCCCTCACAAACACATACAGTGCCCTACCGCCAATGCCAAGCTTCACCATGGCCAACAACCTGCCTATGCAAGTACGTCTTTCACCGCACTGCACTGTACCAGTTCAAACGCTCAGTGTAAAGCGAGGATTAATAGCCAGAGTGCAGTAATCACTCTTAATTGCAGCCTTATGCAACTTCCATTTCATTCTCAGTTTGTGATGTTGTTTGAGTATCTGATGAATTGAGGCATAAGTGTTGCTGACATCTGCCCGTCTCTTTTAACCCCCCCGCCAAACCACAGGCAAGCCAGACCTCGTCCTACTCCTGCATGCTACCAACCAGTCCCTCGGTGAATGGGCGGAGCTATGACACATACACACCCCCTCACATGCAGGCGCATATGAACAGCCAGTCGATGGCCACCTCGGGCACAACCTCAACGGGTAAGCTTTTCCTCCCTCCCCCTCCCCCACCTCCCAAACCAGAGAGGGAAAAAATGCAATTCAAGACAGAGAAGTAGGCTACCATCAATAATGCATTGAGGGCTGAAACACCAGTAAAAATGCTGTTACTATGGGAATACATTCATTTCTGTAGCTGACCTATTTTATGTGGTATAGTGTGTTAGGAAACATGCCACTTCTTATTGTCGGTGTAATAAGAAAAATGTTAGATTTCCAAAACAGTAACTCTTTACAGGAGAAAACAATGGTTAATATAATAATTTCATGTTTTATTGATATTCCATGTGAAAATAAGTTAACAGATTGTCTACAGGAAGAAACTTAAATATGGCATTTTCCTGCAAATCGCTGTTCTCAGAAAAAAAAACCTTGTATCTCCTAAATGGTAACTTTACAGGAGAAGGAAAAAACATACTTTAATTTTAATGTAAATCAATGGAACCAGATTTTTTTCCAAGTCATTTTGGGCCTCTTCTTTTGGCCCATTCTTCATGAAATTTACACACAATATGAAGGACTACAGGGATTTTCAAATTATGTCGAAAACTGAAAAAGGTCAAACATGGAGATATGAGGTTTTGTTCCAATAGCAGCGAGATATTAATTCATGGTTGCTTTTAACTTGCTAAATTTAAAACATTGGAAAAAAATAAAATAGAAAACGTGCCATAACTTTTGCACATGCTACATTTGATATTTAATTTTCCCCAAAATGTTAAATTCAGCAAATTAACCTTATTTTCACATAAAAATTCAACAAAACATTATTTGACCAGGGAGCCAAAACTTTTGCATATGACTGTACATACAAAAGAGTTACAGAAGATTTTCTTACGACTGTCAAAACAGAACTTTTATCTCTGAAATGATAACTTTAATATAAGCAAATATAAGGAGTCTTTATTTAACATACTTTTGATTATTTCTATTGTTCCATCCTAAAATGTTCACATAATCTAAAGGAAAGCTTGTAATATTCAAATTATGTGGAAAGTAAGTGAAATATGAAAAATAAAAATTTAAGGTTTTGCTGCGACAGCAACAATATGTCAAATTTGCTGTTCTAACAATTAGATCTCAGGTTCTAGAAATCTCAGTGTGGATCCAGACTGCAACAGAATGCACCAGATTCCATTGTTGCATCATAATTAGAACTCAAAATTGGGTTTTATGCAAATCAGCTTCTGTGAATCTGAGTTTTGCTTTGGACCGAATATCGTTTCTCATCTTTCCCTTTATTCGTTTTGTTGCGCAGGTCTAATCTCGCCTGGAGTGTCTGTACCGGTACAAGTGCCAGGCAGCGAACCGGACATGTCGCAGTACTGGCCCAGATTACAGTGAGGGAGCAGAGGGGTGGACGGGGAGCAGGCTGCGCCTCCTGGCCTCTTCCAGCTGCAAGGCAAAGCTCTTCATCAGTATTTCACGACACTACAAGGGAGAAGGGAGGCTAAAAAGGACCCGTGTTCTTTTGTACTGGGATAGTGCCACTTCTCTAGCGTTCCTTGGACACAAAGACTTGAAGAAGAATCAAAAGAGAACGGACTCGATGTAAAGTGCCCTGTGTTATATCGTTACGAAAAGAAAAAAAAAGAAGAAAATCTGTTTTCAGTTTCCAGTCATTTTGATGTATTTGTAAATGGCCAATTGTATGTTATGACACAAAAAAACGAACAGCTGTGGATGGACTGTCAAACCAAGTTGATCTTGCATCTGTGGAAGGAACAACATTCATGCAAGCTTTTTCTGCCATGCTTCTTTTTTTGTTTTTTCCTCATTATCGGTTGATATCAAGAACTTCTGACCATCTTTGTAAAGCTTGTGGACCTGTAGTAACAAAAAAAAAACAAAACAAAGGCAATCATGACTACACACAGTTTACAAGAAGCCAATTCATTTGTTTCCAAAGCTTGCTGGCAGAAAAAAAGTCTATGTGGAAAGCTTTGAATGCTGAATCGGAAATGAAAAAAAAAGAAAAAGACAAAAAAAAAAAAACCTTTTGGTAACTTTGGTAAAAACAGTAGATTGTGTCTTCGATATAATTCAATTTTGTTTATGTCGAAATGTAAGTATTTGTCTTCCCTAGAAGTCTCCCAGAACAATTTCTATAATAAAATAAATTTCATTTATAATTATCTGAATATTCTATACATACTACACCCGCTTTTCTTTCAGTCACATTGCATTTATTTCCTGCTCACTATAACCTCCCCAGTACTGAACACTGACATCATCCAGCTACACTACACGACATATCTGAGCACGTCTAACTGTAAGAGCTAACTACTGAGTATAAGACTGAGCAAAATATAAGAGCTACTACTGACTTATTACTATGGACTATTTACACATATCTTCTGATGCCATCTCAGTGTCTTAAAATCATGAGGAACATTTTTAATAAATTCTATGTGAGGACATTTTATCCCCCAAGATACACACAATGTAACTGTACTCTCCCCTCAAAAGTACAGGGTCTATGGGTTATAAAGGTATATGACACTACATTCACCTACATTCAGGCATATTCATACTTTTTCATTACTTAACTTACTTAAATAGAAAAAAATAATATAAGAGGCCCAGAGACTTTCAAATTACATTCAACTAAATATCTACTAAATTGACCATAATTTCCTTTAACTCTAAACCTGGCTCTAATCCTAACCCTAACCTTAGCCTCAACCCAAAGCCTAAACCCAACCCTCACCCTAGTCCTAGCCCTAACCCTGGTCCAATTCCTAACTCTAACTCCACCACTGTTTAGAATCAACTGAGTTTCACCAGATAGTTTGTAAACAATTTGAACATCTGTAGAGAATCTATAGGGACTATAGTGGACTATCCAAATAAAGTGAGACCATTAAAAAACACTTAAAGAACTGCAATGGAAATGGTACAGTTATGTTCCCTGACTAAAAGCGCTTGATGGTCCCACCACAGTGACAGCGTTTATAGCCAAATATGTACAGTCCATTTCTCTGAGCCTACCACAAAAGTTTGACTGGTCAAAGTGCGTGTTTTGTTGATTTTCTAAGTGAAAATAAGTTTAGTTTGTCTAAAGAGTACATACGTAAATATGCCACTTTTTTGCTAATTTTAGTCCACAATTCCTATTTATTTGCCCTTGTTTAACGTAATGGGAAACTAAACTATAAAATGTGCCAACTTTTGCTCAGGCCACATTTAATTATTTTTTGTTACTTTTCCCACAATATCTTAAATTCACCATATAAACAGCAACTGTGCATTAATATGTGCAGAAGTGTGTTCACTGTGAGTTTTTTCCACTTAGCAAATTAACAAAAACATGCAATTTGACCAGCGGCGCTGGCATACAACTATAGGTCTGAAATGCAGTCAGTCATATTAACTAAAGTCAATTCAAAGTGCTGGTTTTAGGCTGTTATAACAGTTTTTGTAAACATATTTCAAAACAATGCACTGGGTTACACAGTAAAAAAAATCACACAAATTGATGTCACTGAAAGTAATTGGATTCACTCAATCTTTACTAATTATGCTTAATAATTATAACAGGACAGTGTGTATAGTTTGCATAATCAGTGTGCATGAAAACACAGCAAGACACCTTTTGAATAATCATGATGTCACCACTTCTGCCATCAAGACATCATTTATTTAGGTTCGCTCAATATTTCATGAAGTGACATTTCTTATTTGGCTTAATAAAAAATCTATTTTTAAAAAAACAAAAGCCCTAAAAAGCAGAAACCAAGCAACTGCATGCTTCCACAGTAAACTGCTGTTTGGAAAATCAGCTTTTATAAGAGCCACAGCGGAGGTGACTGTAGTGGTGGGTGCAAAGAATGACTTCAGCATAAAATGGGTTATTCTGGCAGACTCGTTAGTCCATGGGGGTGGGGGGCCGACAGAAAGACTGGCCCCTGAGGGGTCTGTATCTATGCTTACCACTGGCCTGCTCCTCTGCCCACCCGAGACTGTTCTTGGCAGCATAATGGACATTAAAATCTCCACTAGAGGAAAAATGCCACATTAGATAAGAATCTCTGCAGTCTAGGTGAAGACCCCAAACAAGTTTGCTCTACAAAACTAAATATGTAGCAATACAAATGCTTGTTTTCTTTATTAACCAATTCCTGAACAGAAAAACAGCTTTACGGAGGAGATATAAGGAGTATGCTTTACAGAATCGACCATTATGTCCACCAGTATCAGCAAGAAACTTAATATCATTTAAACTCAGTTTACGGTTTATTGAATTTTCATGGAATTATATGAAATTAGCATTATCACATAAAAGGCTTTCAAAGGAAACAATGCCACTGAATTACTATAATCACACTTTTTCACTGTATTCACCGCGGACCACCATTCTCTTTTACTTTCACCTTACAGTTTCTGGTTCAAATTTACTGATTAATTTTATTCTTGGCCATTTTACTCTTAAACATGTTTATCCATTTCCCCTGCAGGTTTTATGCTACAGCCCCCAAATTTGGTGCAAAGCTTTGGCCAAGTATGCTTTGAAGATAGCACAGATCCTTCCCTTCATTTTAATCCACATTTGTGAGTTATCTCAAAACACAAAACTCATCTAAGAAACACATTTTGCTTTTTCATCTCTGCACCTCTGAGGGCCCGTTTAAATGTTTGATTGTAATTCCACCCAAAATGTGGACACTTTGTTAAAAACGCATGATGTTTAAGGCTTAGTTGAGCCAACAAGGTGGGCTTTTAACCATCCCTTGAGTGAGAATTCCACTCAAGCTTCTTTAACATGTCGTTTAATAATGGAGTGATGGGCACCATAAAAAAGAACTAAAACATCAATTAAAAAAAAAAAAACGATATGAACTCTTCAGTAAAAATGACTTGGGGCTGGACAAGATTAAGTCTAGCCTCAGACTCAAGTGCAGTGTCAATGGTGAATCTACAGTGGAAATTCTTTTTAGTTTAGGATTACACTTAATCTGAGTCTGGTAAACTGGCCCTTGAACCCTAGAGTTATATATTTATCTTAAGTATGTAACTTGGCAGACTTAAAATTTAGATTTTATTAAACCTCAGATAAAATGTTTAAAGGGCTCATATAGGGCTGAAAGATCAATTGTTTTTATACCGTAATTGCAACTGAAAATTTTCAAATCACAAGAGCTTTTAGTTATAGCCTACATTCAAAAAATGCTGTCTTAAGTTTTAAGTGGGGAAATTTAACTGACTAACACAGAGTTGTGAAATGCCTGTGGATTAGTTAGACCAGTCAGAGGCAAATAAACCTCCATGTATTGTGACATCACAACCACAAATTAGTGGCTGTCTGGCCTACTACATTCAGGGGTCAAGCATCAAGCCAGAAAAAAGTGAATAATCTGGTCTTTTTGGCCAAAAGAAAAACAGGCATGAACCTTAATTTATAGAAAATAATCACAATATTAGTCCAAAAAAAAATCACAATTAGACATTTTGCGTTGAGCTCTAGCTCATATCCTATTTTTTCTTAAATAAAGGTGTTTGAAGTAATAAGTAAACTCTGTCAAAGTTTCAAAGCATAACATTCACTATCCAGTCCATACAGCCCATATATGGAACAGATTTTCTATAATTTATTGTTTCTGTGATGTCACAAGAACACACTCATTTACATATATCCACATGTTCAGCCGTTTAACCCCACCTATTCATACTGAAGTATCAGAGAGTGTGTCAGCTTTTTGAATGAGGCATAAAACAGGACAGCCAATCACAACAGAGCTCATTTACATTTATTAGTCTTAAAGGCATAGTCACAAAAACAGCCTGTTTAATTAAAGGATAAAGAATCAAGAGATGAATTACGATCATTTTTGATGCATAAAACCACACAAACATTACAAATTGACCTCAAGGGAAAACAGTAAAATACAAGAAAAATACAGGATATGGGCTCCTTAAATAAAATAGTTTGATATTGTCTGTAAACATTATTAAAAATGGAAACTAAGCTGCAAAAACAGACCGTTCTGAATTCATTCTTTTTGTGATGTCACAAAAAAAACAATGCATGTACATATTTGCCAATTCATCCTACAACAATTCAGCAACGCCCCATTCACGCTTAAGTTAAGAGGTGTTACAGCCTGGACTGCTGTCTGAATAAGGAACAGCCAATCAGAACAGAGCTCATTTACATACAACAGCCTTAAAGGCACAGTAACAAAAGCAGCCTGGATAAGTAGAGGCTAGAAAGAAGGTCATGCATAAATGAATTATGATGTTTTTGGTAAAAAAATGCACACAAAACATAAAAATGTACCTCAAATACAATAAAAATGTAGGATACTGGTTTAAAGGCAGAATGGTTTCTTATTTTTTACGTTAAAAACAAGAAATCTTTCCAGTGCAATGATAACAAACAAACAAATTCATGAAGAAACTCCTGAGCTTTCACTGGCAGAAGTAGTCTGGAATTAAGACGACCGTAAACAGGTCAGGCGCATGTTTCTTTTCGCTTATTTTCATGTAGCATCTACGTAACACTCCACACATTCAACACCAAAGACAGCACAGGAAGACAAATAGGACAAAGCTCCACTGCCGCCTTCCAAACACACCG